CTCCCAGGACCAGCCACTTCTTTTTTTTTTTTTCTTTAAAGATTTATTTATTTATTTTAGACGAGGCGGGAGGGGCAGAGGGAGAGGGAGAGAGAGCGTCTCAAGCACAGGCTACACTGAGTCCAACGTAAGATCCTGAGATCATGACCTGAGCCGAAATCAAGAGTCCAATGCTTAAGCCACTGAGCCACCCAGCCACCCCAGGGCCGTCCAATTCTTAAAGATAACAAAGAGTTCCCCATTTCCCAGTATGCATTCATATGCAAACAACCCATACAGAGCCCCGGGCTTCCAGCTACCTCCTTATCAATCACTCACACACCAAGCCAATATCCCTCTCCCTGATTACCCCAGGGCAGGGTACCAGACAGCTAGGGACGGCCTCAGGCCCCAAAGCCCACTGGAATTATTTAAACTAGCCAATCCTAAATTCTTTGCCAGGTCCTGACTAGCCATTCCCTCGGAAACCCCAACAAAGACTCTTGGCCTTGCCTTTCCTCTCACTCCTCCTGCCTCCTAGCCCAAACCTGGTGCTCCCCATGTGGCCCTGTGTAACCTGCCATGCCCTTTCCTCCTGGGAAATACAAGGTATTTCCTCCTGGGAATTACAAAGGTAATAAAACCTTTCAATGGCATTGGCCTTTCTCTCGTCACTCAGTCACCTCTGTAAATTAAAATCCCACAGAGGGGGACGCCTGGGTGGCTCAGTGGGTTAAGCGGCTGCCTTCGGCTCAGGTCATGATCCCGGGGTCCTGGGATCGAGCCCCACATCAGGGTCCTTGCTCAGTGGGGAGCCTGCTTCTCCCTCTGCCTGCTCTGCCTGCCGCTCCCCCTGCTTGTGCTCTCTCTCGAACAAATAAATAAGATCTAAATAAATAAATAAATAAAATCCCAGAGAGAGGGGTGCCTGGCTGGTTCAGTCGGAAGGGCTATGCGACTCTTGACCTCGGGGTCACAGGTCCGAGCCCCACGTTGGGTGTAGAGATTACTTAAATAACTAAAACTTAAATAGAACAAAAAATAATAAAATTCCTCAGGGAAGAAATGGTAAGGTGACTTTTGACTACCCAGTGGCCACTCCATCCTTTGCAACACCTTGGAGTCACCCTGAACGGCTGTCTTGCTGTTACCATCAGCAAATCCTTTTTTTTTTTTTTTTTTAAAGATTTTATTTATGGGGCGCCTGGGTGGCTCAGTTGGTTGGGCGACTGCCTTCGGCTCAGGTCATGATCCTGGAGTCCCGGGATCGAGTCCCGCATCGGGCTCCCTGCTCAGCGGGGAGTCTGCTTCTCCCTCTGACCCTCCCCGCTCTCATGCTCTCTCTCTCATTCTCTCTCTCTAATAAATAAATAAATAAATAAAAAATCTTAAAAAAGATTTTATTTATTTATTCGACAGAGAGTGAGAGAGTACAAGCAGGGAAGAGTAGTAGAGGGAGAGAGAGAAGCAGGCTTCCCGCTGAGTAGGGAGCCTGACGTGGGGCTCGATCCCAAGACCCTGGGATCATGACCTGAGCCGAAGGCAGACACTTAACCATCTGAGCCACCCAGGCGCCCCCATCAGCAAATCCTTCTGGTTGTACCGTCACAACCTATGCAGACGAAGACATCTCCTCACTTCTCTGCTCTGGCACCATGGCCTCTCCCAGGGCTGCAGTGGCCTCTTCACCGCTGTCTCTGCTCGCACGCCTGCCCCTTCAGTCTGCCCGCCAGCCAGCAAAATCCTTTAAAACCGAACCCGGGTCATGTCCCTCCTCTGCTCCCATCGTCCAGCGACTCCTCTCTAAGAAAAAGCCAGAATCCTTATCATGACGATGATCCACGAGGTCCCACAGGGGCTGACTCTCCTACGCAGCCCCCACCCCGCCATGGCCATGCCCTTGTCACCTCTGTTCTCACCTCCTCTGGCTCAGCTCCTTGTTGTTTCTCTAGCACAGCTTGCTCACTCCCTGGGGACCCCTGCCCCCCGGGGAATGCTCATCCTCACGCATCTGCTTGGCTCACACCGGCCCCCTCCCAGGTCCTTGCTCACATGTCACCTGCTCAATGGGGGCCAACCTGCCCATCTTTTAAACAACTGCAATCCACCCCCTTCCCCTGGCTGGCACTCCCGGTACCCCCAGGCTCGGCTTTTTCTTTTCCTGTAAGGCTTATCATTTAATACCACATCTGACATTCCGTGAGCTCTTTCTTATGCTGTTATGTATCCCTCCCCTCAAGAACACAGGCCGTTCTTGGGATCTGTTGTGCAAGGATGCATCCCAGGCGCACAGAATGGTGGGTGGCTCCGAAGTGTTTGCCCATGAATGAAGGCCCTGATGAAGGTAAGCACTGACCTCCTGAGAAATGATACCATCGCCCCTTATTTTCCCAGAGCCTGAGCTTCTAGATGGAGTGACATTTTCACTGGCTCTGTCTGCACACAACAGGCTAGCAGTTGCTATTCTTTTTTTTTTTTTTTTTTTTTTAAAGATTTTATTCATTTATTTGAGAGAGAGAGCATGAGGTGGGGGAGGGTCAGAGGGAGAAGCAGACTCCCCGCTGGAGCCCTAGCGGGACTCGATCCTGGGACCCCGGGATCATGATCTGAGCTGAAGGCAGACACTTCACCAACTGAGCCCCCCAGGCACCCCTGGCATTTGCTATTCTGACGTTGTGATGCTAAACACCTTGTGTTGCCTCCACCCAGTAGGGACCACGCTCAGTAAACCCACATCTCGAGCCGGAAAGCCCTTCTCTCATTTCTGTGGGAAACCCAATCCTCCCCGCACACCGAAATCACCTGAGAACTTCAAGGCACTCGGCAGGTTGTGAGAGAACAGGTCCGGGGTGCTGCCTGGCAAAAGGACTGTTAAGTGAATTGGGCGATTCTAAGGTGCAACTGGGTTTGAGAAGCAGTGCTCCGAGTCAGTGCCAGTTGGAGAAAGCGTGGAGGGAGGGGGCTGTTCATTGAGCAAAAAAGGAGAGGAAAATGAGTACCAATGCTGCGAATGATGAGGCCAGCTGAAAAATCAGAAGGACCAAAAAAAAAAAAGAAATGAAACGCAAAAATGAACTTGAATTTCAGCCTATGCTTCTCTACAGATGAAAAGCCTTACAAGTTTTACTTGCTATGTGCAAGTAGGGAGTTTCGATCTTTAGATGTTTGGAAGAAAAACCTAGAAGAAAAAGCTGCTCAATTGCAATCCAATCTTCAGGCACTTTTCTGTGTCACAGCCAGATGCCTATTTCAGTCCTGGGCAATTTTAACGCTTTCCTCCTCAGGTGCAGTTGAGATCGATGCAGGCAGTGTTGATATTTCTTTTTTTTTATTTTTTAAAGATTTTATTTATTCATCAGAGACAGAGAGAGAGGCAGAGGGAGAAGCAGGCTCCCCACTGAGCAGGGAGTCCGATGCAGGACTCGATCCCAGGACCCTGGGATCATGATCTGAGCCGAAGGCAGACGCTTAACCATCTGAGCCACCCAGGCACCCGGCAGTGTTGATATTTCTTTTTTTTTTTATTTTTTTATTTTTTAAAGATTTTATTTATTCATCAGAGACAGAGAAGAGGCAGAGGGAGAAGTAGGCTCCCCACTGAGCAGGGAGCCCGATGCAGGACTCGATCCCAGGACCCTGGGATCATGACCTGAGCCGAAGGCAGACGCTTAACCATCTGAGCCACCCAGGCACCCGGCAGTGTTGATATTTCTAATCTTCCCTTTGTCCTGTCCTGCCGTGGGTTTCACGCTTCACACGGTCCACGCACTTTCCACCATTCCAGTGGATGGCTTAAAAGAAAAGCCAACTAAGGTTTCAAAGTGGGGCTCTAACACTGAGATAAGAAAGAGGGTTTTGCCAGCTTTGGGGATCAGAATGCCAATTTCCATTCTATTTCGGACTATTAGTCCCTCGAGGCCCGGGAGCGAGGCGCGTTTCTGCACTGCCCCAATACTTAGAACGGAACAGTGCACACGGCAAGCCTTGGCAAATATTCTGTACTATTATTATCCGGCAAGAAGGACGTGTGACATGTGTGGGGTGTTTCTACAGTTTCAGAAGTGCTTCCAGGAGCACCGCCCAGAACCCTCAACTCTCTCACCTACGTAAAGATTGTTCCTTCCACTCTCCAGGCTCAGAGGGTTTGGCTGGTACATGGGAAGTCCCATGAGGACTTAAAGGGAGGTCTGGAAGTGAGAACCCAGGCGTCCCACAGCCTTCTCCCCCTGCAAAACCACCAGTAAATGGTGTCTTCAGCTGTGGCAGTTCGGCCTTGTGAACAGCCTATTCCTTTCCTGACACATCTCGGGAGAAAGGAGTTTCTTAGCACTGTTGCTCAAACAACGGGAGATCGGATGATACTTCATACACACGCTGGAACCTGGCGCCGACACGGATGTAAGTTCCCTTAGCATTTCAAATCGCTTAACGTTAAACCTTTTCAACACCGTAAACATTTTCTCAAAAATTCCAGGGCATTCTCGGCTGTGTTCCTTCCCTGCCTAGGGAGGTGGTCCAGAAACCTAACATTGTTAACAAGAGAACCAAGGTGTCCTGCCTGGCACACCAGTCAGGGTCCTGTGTCAAAATCAAAGTCAGGCGTTAACGGGCTGGGCTAGGGCCCTCGGCCACAGGGTGCAGAGAAGTCAAGGGCCTGAACTTGGCTGCAGGAGGCCGCTGGTGCAGCCACTTGGGAACCCGAGAGCTTTGGGGCTCGGGCATTTCCTCTGAAGACCGGTCCCCCGTCCACACCGCCTGTGCCGGGACGCAACTGAGAAGCAGTGAACAGAGAGTTTTGTTTGTGAATTTTCTGTGTGGGAAGTAAAGGTATGGATCCTGAACACATGCAAAACAAAACAAAACACAAAACCTTCCACATTTTTAAACGAATGTAGAAATTAACAAAATGGAGCTCAAATGTCAGTGTGGAGAGGTGGACAGCACTGGAATGAGAAGGAATAAGGACATGGGGGGGGCGGTCTCTTCTAACAGAACAGTTTTGATTTAGAAATAGGACAAAGTCACTGCTTAAATACCTTTATTATTTTTTTAAAAATTATTTGGACATTGATAGCTCTGCAAAATACTTCTCCCATCCCAAACCCTCAAACCCTTTCCACATGTCCTCCCTAAAGGAACAAAATAGTCATACTTTGTGCCCATTCAAATCTAATTTTTAAAAACATGTAAGATTCAAAATCAAATATTTTTCCTTTCCCAGAACTTGTTAGTAATTTTAAACCACAATGCAACATACTTAATGGCATTTTTTTAAAATTAGCTTATCAGACTATTTTATGAGGAAAAAAAAAAAAACACCCCTCCATTCAAGGCCTTAGAATATAAATTCCCTGTTTCTGAAAGCAAAAGACATTGAAAAGCCCCTTTGCTCCCCCGGAGTTTGTGATTTCCACGCTGCCAAAAGAACCAGCACACAGAGGGGACTTTCTACTTCACATTAGGCATTGCTTACTTTTGGACTGCAGCTGAAATGCTGTATAGTTTGAAAGGATGGGCGGGAGAGTTCCAGCACAGAAGAGAGACCAGGCTGGAAGCGCAGAATGGAAGCTTTCTGAGCAAAGAAGGGCCGGATCCCTAAGATCCCACCTCACGGCAGGTTGGTTTGGAGTGCAGGAAGACGGTAGAAAATCTGCAACCTGCACTGACTTCTTACCAGTGAATACAAGCATCAACCAAACTATTGCACACAGTACCAGAGGCACGTAAACCACGGAGAAGGGTCAGGAAAGGATCACCACAGATGGGGGATGGGGGACGCAGAGAAAAGAAAAGAGTTGATGTTGATTGGGAATTACTAAGAGGAGGTGGGCAGAATAATGCCTTCCCTGTCCTCAGCTGGGCAGATGTTTATGCAAACAAATCTTCATTGCAGATGCGCCCAAAAGATCTAGCAAAGGTATCACTTCTTCATTTTCCCCAATACAACTGGTACACTTCATTACCTCGCTAAGAAAAAAAAAAAAAAAAAGGAAGGAAGAAATCCTACAACAGGACCTGGCCCGTCTGGCTAGCTCAACAGCAGCAATGTTTGCAAATGTCCTTTCCTGCCCGCTCGACTGACCTACTGACCTCCAGAGCCACACGGACGGGGTCCTGATGAGCTCCAGGGGGTGAGCTCGCCCCTCGGGTTCCGAGTGGGGCCACTAGGCTTCAAGGAGCTTGCAAAACGCAGACGAGACTGATGAGCTTGGTGTGAGAAGGGAACGGGGCGGGGGGTGGGGGGGATGGATGGCTCGTGTAGCCCAGGGAAGCCAGCACGGTCGCCCACTGTCTCCTCTACTCACGTGACGCCCACCAGCCACACGGAGGCCGTGTGAGCGCGGTCTCCTCGGTACCGTGCCATTGGCTGGTGTGACCAGAGCCAGCCATGCGACGGCTTGAAGTTTCAGAATAAAACACCGGGCTCAGCTCCGCCAATGGATGTGAATCCTTTTTCCACTGCAGTCACTGGGGCAACGTTCTGGGTGCTCCATGTTCCTGGCCTCCCTAGATGGGTCGGTCTCCCCTCCGTCCAAAGCCTTAGGACTGCACCGCCTCGGTGTCCCGGCGCCCTCTGACTAGTTTCCCACGTATCTCTCCTTTAAGGCTTCCCCGACATTCAGTCTCAGTCCTGTACAGTACATAGGTCGTCAAAAGGAAAGTCACTTTTTAAGAATACACCATGTCCCTAACGCTCACCTAGACCGAAGGGCCACGTGTTTTCTCACACCGACCCTCGAAAGGCCGCTTTCAGCCTGTTTTGCTCCTGTGGGTTATAGCTCTCTCCCTCCTGTATTCTGAGCAAGTCTCGTAAACCACCGGCCGATGCGACGCCCCGACTGATACCAACCTATTCGGCTTTTTAGAACGTTAAAAAACAACAACCCCCCCCCCAAACCACACCCCGCCCACACACACCCACACACACACTTTGGCACGTGAGCCTTGAGTTATTCGAGCGTGTTCACGTTCCCCCCCCCCCCCCCCCGTCCCAACATTTCAGAGTCGCTGTTTCAGGAGAACGACGGGCCCCGTCTGCTTTCGATGGAGAAGGTCATCTCGGAGCACTGCTGTCGTGAGTAGCAAGAGGAGGAGGTACAAATGCCCAACTGGCCCCCAAAACAGCTCTCAGGTTTAGCACTAGAATGGATGCAATGCTGCAAAACTTTTGTACCAGGATGACTAGTTTGAAACTGCTGGTTGATTAAATATACATTTACATATAGATATAGGTATAAAAATTACTAAGTCAACATTTGCTGTTTTCAATGTGAAAACGATAAAATGTAATTCTGAATAATTGTGCATTTGCCATAGGGTCCTTGTTAAAGGGACCATAAAAATAATTTTGTAATAAAAAAACTCTTTTTTTTTCTTTTTTTTCTTTTCTCCTTTTTTTTTTTTTTTTTTTTTTAAGTTTAGTATTGCCCTCAAGTTCAAAAAGTTTGGAGCAAACGTGCTGAGTAAAGCAGGATTGGAATCTGTTCCTGCCAGGGATCCGGAAGCCTTAAATTCAGCGATCCCTGATGGTGGGCCCAGGGGAAACCTGCCAGCCACTGACTAACGCGGCAGGGCTGGGCAGCGCCAGGTGACCCCGTGAAGCAGCCTCTGCCTCCCGTTTCATTGGCGGATGCTGCCGCAGCGCCCCGATTCCCTGCACAGAGCTCGGGGCAGGGGGGGCACACGTGTGCTGGGGCTCTGCCTTCTCTTGAGCTACTAGACTAAGCAACTGGGGGTGGGGAAGGGGGGCAGCGCGCAGGGCTGGGGCCTGGGCAGAGACCACTGAGCACCAAGGCTGAGGGTGACTGGGGGGCGCTGACCTTCTACTTGGTTGGAGGTGGGGATGGAGGGAGGAATGGGCCTTTCGGTGATACAGAAGTTAGCTGTGCAGCAAGGAAAAGTGCATTTAAGGTAGCTTAAAAACAGATTAAGACCAAACTGCCTCAGAGAGGGAGGAAGAACAGAGAACACTCCCTCCGCCTGCCTGCTGGTTGGCCATGCTCCTTGGATTCTGTGGGTTAACATTCATGCCTTCTGATGCGAATCTGCTCGTGAAGAAACAGGAACACACGTTCTCCTGGTTCTGGCAGGTACACAATTTTCTTGGCAAAGTTCTTTTTTTTTTTTTTTTTTTTTGCCAAGTTCAGTTTTATTTAGTTCCTGCTCTGAACCGCTGTCACCGGAATTCGTAGATGGGTGCGCTGTGTTCAGGAACATGCGTTAGGTTGAGGGACTGATACCTGCAGTGCGGGGAGAGAGAGAAAACGGGAGGCGGTCTAAGCAGCCTGAAAACCAAAGAGAGGTGCAGAACCTCCTCCCTACCACCGGAGCGCCCGGCGAGCCCCAGGCTGGAACCGGATTGCAGGTGCAGCTCAGACCTCTTCGGCTGCACCACGTTTGGTTCTCTTTCTGGTTCTTTGGTTAATCCTCCTGAGCTCTGTGTAAGAGGAGCTGCTTTTAGGTCTCGTGCTCTGACCATGAGGCAGTTATGGTATGTCTTATGAAAGGAGAGGCAGAGTAAGCTCTGGGAGAAGATGCGGACCGAAGCCCTGGGCCCTGGGCCTCATCCTCGCCCTCCACTCTGCCTCTCTCTGACATCTAGCACCTCAGCTGCTCCGGGAACGTCAGGCTGCAACATCCTCAGGACTGCATGGGGAGCATAGGCACTCCCCACTTCTCACGGGATACAGAGACTTCCCAGCTAACCCCGAAGCTTATGTTACCATTCACCTTCATTTTCTCGCCTCCCTAGACATGGCTACGAGGCTTGAGAACATCAGAGTTCTGAGGTGTTTGTTTTTGCCCCGTTGGTAGGTGCTCTGAGGAGTTAAGCAGATAAAGGAGAAACAGAGGCGGGGACAATCCACACACAGGGATGATAACCCCCCCGGGGGACAATCAGAGTACATGGGGTAGATGCTAGCTCTCCCCTTACTTGTTTCACGTGGGCATGAGGAGGAGCACAGGAAAAAGCAGTTTATTTCTCACCCCAAAAAAATTTAAAAAAGAAAAATCAAGATAATGCATCAGCCATCAGAATATGCAAATCAAAACCATGAGACCCCACTTCATAACCACAAGAGTAGCTATAATTGTAAAGACATCATAGCAAGCGTTGGGGAGGATGTCGAGAAACTGGAACCCTGGTGCATCACACACTTTGGCAGTTCCTTAAAAAGTCAGAGAATGACCATAGGACCCAGCAATTCCACTCCCGGGTATATGCCCGAAGGAATTAAAGCAGATACTCTAACAGATACTTATACAATCAGCAGCATTAACCACAAAAGGCAGAAGGTGGAAATAACCCATCAACTGATGAATGGATAAATAAATAAATAAATAAAATGTGGTACAGCAGTCCCCCCTTATCTGTGGTGGATACGTTCAAGTACCCCCAGTGGATGCCAAAAACCGTGCATAGTACTGAACCCTACAGACGCTATGTGCGTAAACTTGTGATAAAGTATAACTTATAAGTTAGGCACAGTAAGAGATGAACAACAATAACTAATAATAAAACAGAATAGTTATAACAATATTGGGCAATAAAAGTTACGTGAATGTGGTCTCTGTCTCAAAAGACCTTCTTGTGCTGTAGTCTCACCCTTCCTGCTGTGAGGATGGGAGGTGAGAACATGCCTGCGTGAGGAGATGAGGTGAGGTGAGTGAGGCAGGCATGTGACCGAGTGCTGGGCCACCCCCGACTACCATCCGCTTCTGGACTACGGCTGACCGCGGATAACTGAAACAGCGGAAGGCAAAACCGCAGATAAGGAGGGGCTACTGTACATCCATACCACGGAAAATTATTCAGCAATAAAAACGAAGGGCTGATCCATGCTGCCACATGGCCGAACCTTCTGAGCATTAGGCTGAGGGTAAGAAACCTAACACAAAGGAGCTTCATAGTGTGTGTGGTTCCCTTTATAGAAAATATCCAGAATAGGCACGTCTGTATAGAAGTCGGTTAGTAGCTGGCTGCCTCGGGCTAGGAGGGGATGGGGCTAAGGGGAACAGGGTTTCTCGTGATGGTGGTGGGAGCATTTAAAATTGATTGGGGTGATGGCCGCACAACCGTGAATATTCAGGATGACCGAACTGTATGCTTTCAATGAGCGAATTGTATGGTATGTGAATTCTCTCAATAAAGCTGTTATTTAAAAAAGGATATAACAGATTTTAAAAACTCCTTTGAAAACAGAGCAATTACTGAAATCCTGGTTTCAGCAACTGTGGCTCTCAGGGGAGCGGAGACTGCTCTGAGCCCACGGGCATTTATTTGCAGAAATCATTCTGCTGCCACTGAACAAGGAACTTGAGTCAAGCCAGGGAAGCATCACTCACAAGTCACCGAACTATAAAACATCTGGAAGGGAATACGGTGTTTCTACGTTCGGAGAGGAAATCAGGTATTTTGTGATAGGGTTCCTTCTTCAGGTACAGCAAGGTGCTTGGAGTAGCAGTGATGGGGCAGGAGAGTCCCCAGAAAGGTGAGAAAAGCTAGCGCTTGCGGTGACACTCAGTCCTTCACCTCAGATGAAACACAGGGCAGGACCGTCAGCTCCCATGGGGACCCCGGTCACTAGACTGAGATCAAGAGTGGGTGGGGCTGGCATCTAAGCGATGTGACCACAAAATTAGAAAAGCTGCTAACAGCAAAACTCACCCTGTCCATAGCTGGAGCTTACACTGTAGTTACTGATTAAATGTGGGAGGAAATACAAGAGCAGCCAAGGTTGGGAGAAACACTGCTGATAATACAGAACTGCTTGCAAGCTTTGAGCAGTGAGTTCCTTTATTGAGCACTTTGGTTTCATCTTATTTACTCTGCTCTGTGGTTAGGGATAGGAGCCCCTCCATGGGCAGCTGAGATCATTCAAAGAGGCCCTCCAAATGCAGATAGAGCATAAAAGCTACGCAGAGACAGGGGGAGAAGTTTTCTTTTGGATTCGGCAAGCGAAGGGAGAGCCCGGGCAGCAAGCCGCCCCCTTCGCCTCTGGGGCGCCTTACCATTCTGAACTCCTATGGTAATAGTAGCCTTCTATGGAGGCTGCCGACTTCTGGAAGCAGATGTAATAGAACCCAGCAAAGGAGGCACCGCTGATGTCTTTGATCGTGTGATCTGGGACCAGGAACTGTTCCTGCACACAGATGGAGGAGGTCAGTAACAGACGGCGTGCTCCAGCCACGTCTGGGGCTCCCCGTTAGCCTTCAGGTGGTTCTCGGGTTCCAGTGTCACATGGTCTTGCCCAGGCTTGCTGGACGACGGCGGACATCTGCGTTTCAACCCCATCTGTCAACAGCATTCTAGATAACTAACGCAGTAGCCTGTGTCTTGAGCTCACTGCGATCGGCAATGAAGAGAAGGTTCTACGGTCCACACGTCTTGAAAATGAATCGATACCTACCTACCTTTCAGAGCCCACAGACAGAACGACCCAGGAAGAGGAAGTTTCTGCTCCACCCCAGGAACTGGTGCTGGGTTCCTGATCGCCTCTGCCTTCTGAGGGCAGACCAAGCACCAACTGCCCCCGTAACAGCTCCTCAAAAAGCTCGACACCTCATCCACAGCCATCAGAACGGTACTATTCTTGCTCGGGCGCCTTGGGAAGAGGCGAGCTTATGATCTCTAGCTACGGCCAAGCTGAAAGGCTACATCTGGGCACCTACTCTTCCAGGAAGATGAGGTCAGTGGCCTCACAGCCCCAAGAGGTCCACTGAGAGCCCATAGTGAGTCACACTGAGAAGGTCTTTGGAGACCAAACAACTCCACTGTTTTGTTTTGTTTTGTTTTTTAAAGACACTCTCCGTCCCTTTCTTCAACCTCTGAAATGCTAGTTTTTAAAAATTAATTTTAAAATTAGGACCTTGCAAGATACTTCCTTTAGTACTTTATTAGCTGGCACGTTTCCAAACACCAGACAGCAAGCTCACGAGGGCGGACTCAGCTTTTACTCTTTGCACCTGGCCAGCATCTCTGCAAAAAGTGACGACCCCCGCCCCCAACCCCAAATTATTAGCCGTACAAACTAAAGATTGGGAATAACTCCTCTAAATGACTCGCTTGCATGAAAGCTGGCAAGGTTTCAAGATAAAACAGCTTTTTCCTGCAGACTGGGGACCAGGGGTTGGAAGTGGGTGTCCGTTCACAAAGTGATGTCACAAACCCACTTCATGATTTTGCTAGCCTGCGGCTGGAACACAGTAAATACCAGGCTATCAAAAGAGGGAACACAAAAGCCTTGTCAGCCCAAAGCCAATCTCGCGAGTCCAGCCAGATGGAGTTCTCGGAGGGCTGCTGAGTGGAAAACCCAAATTCCATTCCTGGTCCCTCACTTCCTGCCAGAGGGAACCAGACAAGCTGAGACGGCACTGAAGCTTGGCTAGGACGTGGTGAGGGAAGAGCCACTTAACACGGGCTCTCAGCTGAGAGTAGGAAATGACGGGGCCCAACTCTTGTCCTCCTCTGAGTCCAGAGAACACCGGGGGTGACTCAACCTGGAGAGTCGAAGGTGCTGAGGGCAACCACACCGCCCCCGCCCCCAGCCATGAATTTATCTGCTAACCACCAAATGGCGTCACCAAAGACAAACCGTCTTGCATGGCAGCAGTTGGCCAGTGTGGCCTGGAGCCGTGCCTGCTTTTTATGAGCGTGTAAAGGCACTCCACGGAGACAAACCGTAATGAAGCACTGGACCCGGGGAGCAGGAGGGGTGCTGGATAGAATGCAGGCTCTGGCTGGGCTGGGACCTTACCTTCCACCTCATGAAGACATAATCCCCATTCTTCAGCTCTTCATAATCAAAGTCATCTGAATTAAATGATTTTGCATACTGATAAAAAGCCAGAAACTTGCCCTGAAAGCAAAAAAATTGAGCATGAGGACCAATCGACAGAGGGGGAGGCTGGGGTCACCACTGCCCTTCTGCGCCCAGCAGCAAGCACCTTCGCAAAGGTGTGATGGCTGCTGGATGCGCCCACAAGAGCAGCAAATGCTGAGGATTGGGGAAGGGAGCCTGAGGTCCCCACCAGTGAACTCGGGCCTGGCCTCCAGCCGAGGCACCATGAGGCTATGCCTGCCTACTTAATGTGGTCCAGGGAAAGGCCCGGGGCTGGGAACGGATGAGATTCCGGGAGCCTTTTCTCAGAACACCTTACCACAAGCAAAGCCAGGAAGGATTAGCAAGAAGATCTCTATAAGTGAATCAACATGAGCCATGCAGAATAACTTAGAGCCAGCACATCACCCTGAAGGGAGAGAGGGGTTTACTAAAGCGGGGTCCTCTGACACAGGAATGTGGCTTGGGGCCAGCCAGTGAAGTAGAAACAGGAAATGGGTAATATATGATTAAGTCCTTTTAAAAAAGGAGACCAGAAATAGGTTACAAAACTGTGTCTCATGATCCTGTTTTTGTAAAAAAAAAAAAAGAAAGAAAGAAAGAAAGAAAAAAGGTTAATATCTGTTTTAACTTTGGGTATTATTATTATAGATGTTTTTTTCCCTTTGCTTTTCTGTTTACTCAAATATTTAAAAATAAGTATGCATTATTTTATAAAAAATAAAGTTTAAGATACAGAGGTATTAACTCAGAATTTGTCACATGTATATCTCTATTCTAACTGGATTAAGTATATAGAATCTTGACTTTAGGGTACCACCATGATACCAACTTTAAATATCACTCAGGAAAACTTGAAGGTGAAAAACAATGTCTCTGATTCCAATTTACAGGCAGTCCTGGTTTTATTGTACTTCATTTTATTGCTCTTTGCAGATATTGCATTTTTTAAAAAAGATTTATTTATTTATTTGTCAGGGTGGCAGAGGGAGAGGGAGAGAGAAACTCAAGCAGACTCCACGCTGAGTGTGGAACCCAATGTGGGGCTCGATCTCATGACCGTGAGATCACGACCTGAGCCGAAACCAAGAGTTGGATGCTTAACCAACTGAGCCATGTAGGTGCCCCCAGATAATGCTTTTTTTTTTTTTTTTTTTATAAATTGAAGGTTCGTGGCAACCCTGTGTCGAGTAAGTCGATTGGCACAATTTTTCCAACAGCATTTGCTCACCTCATGTCTCTGTGTCACATTTTGGTAATCCTCGCAACGTTTCAAACTTTTTCATTACTCTTGTATCTGTTATGGTGATCTGTGATCTAATGCCATTGTTTTGGGGCACCACAAACTGCCCCCATATAAGATAGGAAACTTCATCAATAAATGTCTGTGTTCTCACTGCTCCACTGACTGGCCATCCCCCATCTCTCTCCCTCTCCTCAGGCCTCCCTCTTCCCTGAGACACAGCAATATTGAAATGAGGCCAAGTAATAACCCTACAACGGCCTGTGAATGTTCAAGAGAAAGGAAGAGTCCTATGTCTCTCACTTGAAATCAAAAGCTAGAAATGATTGAGCTTAGTGAGGAAGACCTCTCAGAAGCTGAGACAGGCTGAAAGCGAGGCCTCTTGGCCCAGTGAGCCAAGTTGTGAATGCAAAGGAAAAGTTCTTGAAGGAAAGGAAAAGTGCCACTCCAGTGAACACATGAATGATAACAAAGCAGGCTTTGATGTGGAGAAAGGTTTAGTGGTCTGGAGAGAAGGTCAAACCAGCCCCAACATTCCCTTAAGCCAAAGCCTAACGCAGAGCAAGGCCCTAACTCCCTTCAATTCTGTGCAGGCTGAGAGGTGAAGAAGCTGCAGGAGAAGAGTCTGAAGCTAGCAGAGGTTGGTTCAGGAGGACTGAGGAAAGAAGCCGTCTCCATAACGCAAATGTGCAGGGTGAAGCAGCAAGTGCTGATGTAGAAGCTGCAGCAAGTTCTCCAGAAGATTCTAGATCTTCATTAAGATAATGAATACGCTACACTAAACAACTACACTACACCAAGTAACAGATTTTCAGCATAGATGAAACAGCTTGGTATTGGATGAAGATGCCATCTAGACCTTCTATAGCTAGAGAGGAGCAGTCAATGTCTGGCTTCAAACCTTCAAAGGTCAGGCTGACTCTCTTGCTAGGGGCTCATGCAGCTGGTGACTTGAAGTTGAAGCCAATGCTCATTGACCATTCTGAGAATCCTAGGACCCTTAGGAATTATGCTAAATCTACTCTGCCCGTGCTCTAAAAATGGACCAAAGTCTGGATGACAACACATCTCTTTACAACGTGATTTACTCAATATTTAAAGCCCAACATTGAGACTTCTCAGAAAACAAGATTCCTTTCAAAATATTGTTTGGGGGGTGGGGGGATGGGGTAGCCAGGTGATGGATATTAAGGAGGGCACATGTTGTGATGAGCACTGGGTGTTACACGCAACTAATGAATCACTGAACGCTACATCAGAAACTAACGATGTACTATATAGTAGCCAACTGAACATAATAAAAAAAGGTATTATTGTTCATTAACAATGCACCTCGTCATCCAAGAGCTCCGATGGAGATGGACAGTGAGATTTATGTTGTGATTAGGCCTGCTAACACAACGTCCACTCTGCAGCCTGTGGATCAAGGAGTCATTTCAACTTTCAAGTCTTCTTATTTAAGAAATACACTTCATAAGACTGTAGCTGCCGTAGGTAGTGACTCCTCTGATGGGGCTGGACAAAGTAAATCGAAGACCTTCTGGAAAGGATTCGTCATTCTAGGTGCCATTAGGAATATTTGTTGATTCGTGGGAAGAGCTCGAAATATCAACATGAACAGGAGTTTGGAAGAAGTCGATTCCAACCCTATAGATGACTTTGAGGGGTTCAAGACTTCAGTGAAGGAAGTCACTGAAGATGTGGTGGAAAGAGCAAGAGAACTAGAAGCAGAAGTGGAGCCTGAACATGGGACCAAATGGCTGCAATCTCATGATAAAACTGGAACGGATGGGGCGCCTGGGTGGCTCAGTTGGTTAAGCGACTGCCTTCGGCTCAGGTCATGATCCTGGAGTCCCGGGATAGAGTCCCGCATCGGGCTCCCTGCTCGGCAGGGGGTCTGCTTCCCCTCTGCCCTCTTCCCTCTCATGCTCTCTGTCTCTCATTCTCTCTCTCTCAAATAAATAAATAAAATCTTTAAAAAAAAAACAAAACAAAACACTTGAACAGATGAGGAGCTGCTTCTCATGGATGAGCCAAGAACGTGGTTTCTTGGGATAAAAATCTACTCCTGGTGAAGATGCTGTGAGGATTGTTGAAATGACAACAAAGGATTTAGAATATCACCTGAACCTAGCTGATAAAAGCAGCGGCAGGGTTTGAGAGGATGGATTCCAATTTGGAAAGAAGTTCTATGGTGGATGAAACGCTATCACACAGCACCTCTTGCTACAGAGAAATCGTTTGTGAAACCAAGAGCCGATCAATGTGGTCAACTTCATTGTTGTCTTATTTTGAGAAAATGCCACTGCCACCTGAACCTCCGGCAACCACCCCCGAGATCAGTCAGCAGCCATCGACACGGAGGCAAGACCCTCCACCAGCAAAAAGATTAGGATTCGCTGAAAGCTTAGAGGATGCTGAGCATTTTTTAGTAATAAAGTATGTTAAAATTAAGGTGTGTACGTGTTGTTTTAGACCTAATGCTACTGCACCCTTCATAGACTACAGTATCACATAAACGTAAGTTTTATGTGCACTGGGAAACCAAAAAAATTCTTTTGACTCACTTTATTGCAATATTCACTTTATTGCGGTGGTCTGGAACGGAAGCCGCAGTATCTCCGGGGCATGCATGTATCAGGCACTTCGAGTCCCTGACAAACAGGGATCCCACATGGGATTCTGGGACTCCGGAGTGGGCTGGGAAAGTTATGGGAAACTGAGTACTGCAAAGGTGACCGGACTGCTGAATGAGGAAGGGCCCAGAGGCCGAGCTCCTCATCCTACCATATCAAGGGTGGCCTTCTCTGTCCTTCTGTCACTCAAAATATTTCAATTCAGCCTACCAAGGAGAACCAGATATTTTCTGTTCTGGTGGAAGTCTGGAACACTAACAGTTGGTTTCCAGGTATTTGATTTGCAGCAGACCTAGCTTAGAATTGACTTTTCACGGAGTCTCAAAGACCTTGCTTTTTTTGTAGAACCAATTTGAGATGGAAAACCAAGTTGGATGGAAGACAAGCTGTGGCTCAGTACAAGGAAGAGCTTTCCCGCTGGGTCCATCCAAGAGAGAAAGGAGCCATCTTGTGAGGCTTCGAGCAGCATGGGAAGAGCCGGCGTCGGGCAGGGTGGGACCAGATGGCAGCTGGGAGCCCTCCAGCTCTGCTCCCGGATGCTGGCACCACCGTGCCCCACTCGAGCTCCCCAACCGAGCAGCCTAAGAGACTCAGATCTTGTTCATTCCTTCGTAAGAGACACACACAAATGACTGACTTTCGGTGTCTATTTGCGACAACAGGCAAAACATGTAGCTTACAAAAAATGGTTTTAGGGCGCCTGGGTGGCTCAGTTGGTTAAGCGACTGCCTTCGGCTCAGGTCATGATCCTGGAGTCCCGGGATCGAGTCCCACATCGGGCTCCCTGCTCGGCAGGGAGTCTGCTTCTCCCTCTGACCTTCTCCCCTCTCATGTGCTCTCTGTCTCTCTCATTCTCTCTCTCAAATAAATAAATAAAATCTTTAAAAAAAAAAATGGTTTTAAAAGCTCAAGTTTAAATTTAATTAATTAAATAATTTAAAGTAAGTGAAACTCAGCATCTGAAAGATGTTCCTTTCCTACCTCAGGTGGAAAACATTAACAAGCAAAGCAGCTAATCTACTGTGAGGTTAACTGGGACGAGGGTCTATAACAGGGAGTCCTGTCCAAGGACTATTGTGCCAGAATCAGGAGAGAGCTTGAACAGCCAGGTGAGAGGGGCAGGGGGAAGCATCTAGAGTCTTCATTACTGACGCAATCACTTCGGGTGGGTTTAGAGGGTGAGCACATTAGACTTCTTCCGTGTTAAACCAAAATTCATCGCGGCGCCTGGCTAGCTCAGTCGGTGGAGCGTGTGGCTCTTGATCTCAGGGCTGCAGGTTCGAGCCCCACATTGGATGTACTTAAAGATAAAATCTTAAAAAAAACTAAAAACTAAAAATATAATAATAAAATAACCCCAAATTCATCATTGCCATGGTCAACTAAGTCAGAAGGCTATTATGATAGGTTGAGAAATGGATTTTTGAAGACCAATCCATTGAGTTGTGTGAAAGCCAATGAAAAGACTTGAGGACAGTGACTCTAAGTTGTCTCAAAATGTTCACTACTGGTGAGTGAGAACACATCCCCCACTTGACAGTTAAAAGTGGGGGAAGTGGAATGTTCAGTGGCATCCTGATGATGCTGAAGTTGAGTCTGGAGCTGGGTGAGAAGCCCCCCCCCCCCCCTGGCCCCGGGGCTCTCCCCATACAGAGATGCCAGCAGGAGAAGCAGCTTTCTAGAAACTGCATCTCCACCTCATGCTAACCCTGAAGACAGAGGCCACTGCTTTATGTTTCACAGGGCTCCCCCACATACAGGAGATGAGAAGGAAGAGTGGACAGGTGGACAGGACAGGGGACAGTGATAAGACCCCGAGAGCTAAGTTCCTTGGCTTTCCAGCAGTGCCTGGGGGGCCCAGAGGAGACAAATATCTACTCACCCAGTGTTTCCGATCAACGTCTTCATCTGCGTCCCACTTCCGCGTTAAGAAAGGGTGTTTTTTGCTGATTATTTCTCCTTCAAAAAAGGTCGTAAGGGTTGGATACTCCTATGGTAAAAATCCAAATATCAAAATAAGATGTCAAAAAAGAGTTTTTACCTTTCCCAAAGGAAAAATCAACCTGGTTTTAACTTCTTCCCGGGACTCTGAAAAAATGATCACACTGCTAAGCAATGACCCAAACTGAGTTAGGTCCAGTGATCTGCTAACGGCTGCAGAGTCAACATGAATTGAAAGTGCTCAGAGAGTCTCTTGGACTTTATGGAGTTTGCTGGAAGCAGAGAACCCTTCTTCGACTTCACTTGTTACATACTGATCACTCAGAAAAGAATTTAGACAAGTAAATTCTGGGTATTCTAGGATACAAAGCAGATAGTAACTAAGTAGATGTTACTTTCCAAGGAAAACACCCAAAGATGCTCCCAAATCACAGCGTTCACAGCTAAGTCTCCCTCACGCCACGGCCTGGTCACTGGTTCTCAAACTAGCTCAGTCATTTGTCTCTTTTGTGCCCATTCTTCAGGTTTCCAGGGGTGGGTTTTTGGGTTTTGGGTTTTTTTTTTTGCAGAATACCTTGGTATATTAGGATACATTTATTATATGAACTAAGGCCATCTACACTAAGGAAAATATATGTAAATCACATCCGCAATGGAAAATCACCACAACAGAAACACATGGGGAAAAAATAAGCTGTCATCCTAACTGGGTGCTTAGAATCCTCTTGTCAATTTTATTTGCTATTTGTTCACCTGCTAATAAGGAGGCACCAAAGATTCTGAAAGAAACTAATGGAAGAAGAAGTTAGCACTGTAAGAAGTTTACCATTTCTCTGCATTTGTAAAAAACCAACCAACTGATCGACCAACCGGACAACCCCTCAGCCCAGCCTGCCAGCCCCTGGTGTTTCTTGGAAACGTGTAATGATGGTCACTGGCCTGGCAAACTGTGGATTACAGCCCTAACGTCCCTGGGACCACAGAGGTACCACTTTCTGTTTCAGGCCCTATGTAGGCCCCTCTTATTCTGCATCAAACATCTACACGTGTTTAAAGTAAATCTGTTCCAATGGCTTTGCTCTGTCTCTCAGTTTGACCTGCCACGTAGCTGGGGCCGCCCCTAGCAGATACTGCCATGCTGGTTCAGCAGCTACCAGGAAACAGCACAGCCACGGGCACTCCACTCTGGACTGGCCTGCTTCACTACACACCACGGAGGCCGTCTGTGGTCTTAACAGTGAACTCTAAAATATATAGCACCCTCCCCGCCAAACCACAACCCCTTTCCCCAACTCGGGGGCTGGGTTCCTCGTACAGACATTTACATATACAGAGTGAAGAAATTAAAGGGGAGTTTCCTAAATGGAAACCTGATTTTAAAGGTATAAACTAGGGGCGTCTGGCTGGCTCAGTCAGTAGAAATGTGACTCTTGATCTCAGGGTCATGAGTTTGAGCCCCACATTGGGTGTCGAGAGTACTTAAAAATAAATAAATAAATAAGTAAATAAATACATACATAAATAAATAGGGGTGCCTGGGTGGCTCAGTCAGTTAAGTGTCTGCTCAGGTCAGGTGGAACCCCGCATCAGGCTCCCTACTCAGTGTGGAGCCTGCTTCTCCCTCTCTCTGTCCCTCCCTGTTCATGCGTGCTCTCTCCCTCTCTCTCTCATAAATAGATAAAATCTTTTAAAACTAAATAAATAAATAAAATAAAAGTTTAAACTAAATTACGCTGATCTGTTTTAGGAAGAACTACTAAGGGAGAAAGTTCTGTATCAGTTAGTACCTGACTTGAGATTTTAAATGGAAAGCTATATGTATGGATTTTCTGAGGTTTGAACTTTAACATTTTTTTTAAAACTTCCACAAAAAAGATAGAAAAGAAGAAAATGATAAAGTGGTCCTCTTACAATACAAAGAAGATACTTATGGCTCAAATCGCACGTTTTCCTAATGAACTGACTCTGCACTGAAAACGTTTCAGGCACTAGATCAGGATGACTGCAAGGTACCCCCAAGCTCTGAGAATTAAAATAAAAGAAATACTGCCTGATGAATGAGAGTCAATAGGTACAGAAGTTACCAAAAAGATGAAATCTCTCTCAGGGCAGGACCAGGAAATTCAAGCACTTGACTGTAGCCAGACTGGCGGTAATTTTTAGAGCCAGAGGAAAAACTCTATCTGCAGGAGGGACATCAGGAAAACGAGTCAGAGAGGAAGAGACGTAGCCAGCAAGCCCCACCCCCAAAGCAGGCGAGGGCTTCCTACAGTGGGTCTAGCTGCTGTTAGCCGTTTAGGTTGTCCAAATCACTCCCCACACGGATTCCAGGCCCACCAAAAACTCTCCGGTGATGGGTCTGGCTTTCCATGTAGACCCACCTCCCGGGGGATTAACACCCAATTGGCTACTAAGTCAGAGGGAACTTCTGAACATGCACGTACCTCATTTTAGAAATGAGTAAACGAGCACTCCTGTGTATACATCAGTCTCGGTGAGTTTGGTTAGTATGACCTATCTCCTTGGTTCAGACAAGTCTAGCCCAACCTCGGCAGAAGCTTCCAAATCCATCTAGTGAGTGAGTGGAGGGCCGGGCCATGACTCCCCGAAGGCTGGGCTCCTAGGCCCTGTGCCAGCTGCAGGGCCTCCCTAGAAATGTCCCCTCTCTCCACTGGTGCCTGGCTCAGAATTGCAAAGAAAATGTTACCTGACACCCATTCTTCACAATTCTGGGATTTCATTTCCAGAAGGCACAGAAACCTTTTAAAAACTGTGCTTGTTTGTGAACGTGAGATAGCTAAGAGACAAAAATTACCTCCAATTTAATAGTTCATTTTCTTTATTGGAGGCACAAGAGAGACTAAGGCTAAAACCCAATCATTTAAATGATTTTATTAAAATAAATCACATATGTGATATTTTCACAACTATTAATGGAAAAGCAAACAAACCCAAATAGCTGTATTTTATAATACAGGTAATAAAGTCATTCAGAGAATCCTCACCCTTTTTTGGCATTTCAGTGATTATGTATAGTGTTGGATTTAGAACTTAAAGATTTTATTTATCTGACAGAGAGAGAGCAAGCGAGAGAGCACACACAGGGTGAGTGGCGGGCAGAGGGAGAGGGAGAAGCAGACTCCCCGCTGAGCAGGGAGCCCGATGCGGGGCTTGATCCCAGGACCCTGGGATCATGACCTGAGCCGAAGGCAGACGCCTAACCATCTGAGCCACCCAGGCGCCCCCATTTCAGGGTTCTTAATGCTACTTGCTGTTTCCGTGCAGCTTCCTATGACCAGCGTGGCTGGTTTTAGGGTCAGTGGTAGCATTCCACATGACAGATTCTGCTGGTTTCCTCATGAAGCCAAATGTTTATGTTCTGCCTTCAGTAGGTACATCTGGCTGCCTATGGGTTGAGCATATTCTGTGTGTTTCCTGCTACCGTAAATTCAAAGGCTGGAATCCTTTATTCTGCTCTCATTTTCTACCCCTTCTCTACTGGATAAGTTTCTGGAGGCAGGAACAGGTTACCTTTTCATCTCAACAACAAACTTCACAGACAATTCTCAAACTTCTAATAGAGAAGGGGGAGAACCAGAGCGAATCAAAGAGACGGAAACAGTTGTTTCAAGACGGGGGATGTTCAGGGCCTTCGTTAGTATCCCTCAATTTGTATCACACTGGAGTCCCCTCTTGCTCTTACATTGTTTCCTCCCCTCTAGCGTAAGGCCCTGGAGTAGACAGCGCAGGTTTATTCTATTCTATTCTATTCTATTCTATTCTATTCTATTCTATTCTATTCTATTCTTTTTATTGATTAGCCAAGTCTAGTTGACGCCACTATTATGCGGGTTTCGGGTCAGTGTAGTGATTCGACAATGCTACACGTTGGTATTTATCAGATTCGGGGACTTAACTACTTTCATTTACACCACAATGGTAGCAGAGTGGGTATTTTTCATTCTCATTTTACAGATGAGGAAAGGGAAAGGAAAGCTCACAGCAGGAGCAAGGGGCAAAGCAAGGATGTCCTCCCGGCCCTCTCTAAGCCTCGGTGGAGCTGCGCCGTTGAGACAGAGAGGAATGATCAGGCCAACGGGGCCCGGCAGCCAGGTCAGGCCCAGGCCCTCATGGAGGAGTTAGGCGGCCAGCTCCGTCCCCTCCTTCCTCTTCCTATTTACTCACTAGCAGGGAAAGAAAGGATGCTCTTTCTTGCTTTCCATATTCCCAGGAGTTCTGAGATTCAAAAAGTTGGTTCAGAGAAAGGAAAACAGCCTACATTTCCATAGCAGCTCCTTGAGCTACGAACTAGATGATCACCTTTCATTGTTCCAGTGAGCTAAGGGGTTTAAGGGATGCCAAAGACTTCAGTTCTGGAATGATTCATGCGTATCCCAGAAACCACTAAACTTATGACAACGGGTAGCCATATTCCTACTCTATTTTTTTCCCCACCAAAGGATTAAAAAGAAAATCAACAATGTTGGTAACATTGTGACTTATTTATAAACTTTAAAGTTTTGTGCATCCGTACACTTTCCAACAGGGCACATCAAAACTACATGCTTTGTGTGTGAAGTACAATAACAACACTTCTCAGGGCGCTTTAATCAGGCCTCAGGGTCAACGCTCCTGGCCCTTCACACCCTGAGAATGCCAGGCATGCGGCCCACCATCTAGTTCTAGTTCATTTGAAGGAGTGCTTACCTCAGTAAGGCCTTTTATCTTCAGGTATCCACAAAGGTAAGAGTTCCCTGTGTCCACATGCTGGAAAGAAAGGACACACAATCTTGTTACAAATGGAGGAAGCCCTGGGAGACAAGCTGGGGGTACTGTGGAAATCCACGCGTCCTGAGGTCACACGCCAGGCGGGCTAAGGGAGGCCTGGATGTTGATGCCCGCCGAGCTTGGTCAGGGCTCACCGGCCTTTGAGACCTTCGTGAGTCCTCCCTACCCACGGGCCTGTTAAGACGAAGCAAGCTGATCCCAGGACCCTCTCAACCTCCTTCAGCTGAGTATCTTGAGACCGAAGCGCCTTTCTGGAGCAGTGAGCTTGCTCAACACAGGCCTCCCGCGGGTCTCAGAAGTGTACCCCTCCCCTATATTTACACTACGCACAATCCTGCATTAGTTCTTTATGAAATGGGCAGCATATTCAGGAAAGGCATCGTATGAAGACTGCTCGAGTAAAAATTTCAGTTATGAACCAAAATGCTGACCCTAGATCGGAATATATCGTTAAGGGTTCACTCTGCCCACTTCACAGACAAATGCCTGTATTTCTTGGTGAAGAGTTGGGAGGCTAAAATAAACAGGGGTAACAGGCATGGGAGATTTTGAGGCTGAGCATCCACCAATTATGGGCTGCTGAGACACTGCAGGGTGCCTACCCAACATCCAATTTCCTACTTTTCCATGCTGCCAGGGCCCAGATCCTGTTCTGGCACCCACCCTGGCCCCTACAAGACCTGGTCAGCCCTGATGGATCCAAGGCAGATGCGTGCCCCTGTCCCCTTGTGAGTCATTGGTTTAGGAGTGAGTGACCCAGTTCTGACCAATCAAATATGTGTGTCAGTCTCCTGGGTGTTTCTGGGCAAGATGCTGGCTTTTGAGGAGGCCCTCTTTCTTCCCTTGGTGGTGGCAGGACTTGCACATGGTGCCCAGGCCCATGGCAGCCATCTAGAGACCATGAGGACAAACAGGCCGGGAAATGCCAAGGATGGCAGCAGAGAAACATGGAAGGAAATGGGCTCCTGAATGAGCCAATCTGGAACCAAGCCACCTCCAAGCTTCTTGTAATCTGAGATGCTGGATTCACTCACTCTTTAATTTGAAGTGGGTATGGTTACTTGCAGCTGAGTGCACCCGGACTGACACATTTCACCCAAATCTACACAGATCGATCCTGAAGAGGCAGATTTTCACATTTCACGATAAATTGGGCTCCCTTACAAAGCAGACCCCTGGAATGAAAGCAAACCCAAGTACAATGCTACTGCGGCATGTTGAGATTTTAACACATTAAGTGAGGTCTCATTTTAAGCGACTAGGAAAGTTTTGTGGTATTTATCAGATTCGGGGACTTAACTACGGTCATGTACACCAGAAATCAAACACTCAGGCAATCCTTAAAAACTGTAATGAACACAGTCGGCCAGATGAGGTCAGCACCAAAGCAAACGGGCTTCAATGAAGCTGAAATGCTCCCACAGTTTGGTGCTGGTGACAAAGGTAGTCCATGTAAAAACTGCCAAAACACTTAAAATATCCTCATCGGCTGGCCTTGGCGCTGGATGTGATCTAAAGTGGCTGATCTGCACTAACATGGTTCAGCAGAGAACTTTATTTAAAGGACACACAGCTCTAACCTGAGGCCTTAAATTTCATGTATGCGATTCTCACTGAATTCAATATAGTTTGGCGTTCCACAGTGGCTGGAAACGGTATCAGGTGGCCAGGATACCTGCTAATAAGATTAAAAACTGAACTGGAAGTTGGCTAACATTTTGCATAGATTATCGCACGCTCAAGAATCACAATTTCAATTTGGCCTCTGTTCAACCATGTGTCTCTCCCATTCTGCCCAAACTCATCTCCATGACGGTTGGTGAACTCAAATACACTACAATGCAGAGAACTTGAACCGAACGCCAGGCCAGCATCTCGATGAGAAAGATAGCAAGGCAAATGTTTAGCAAGAAAGTCTCAGAGCACAGCTGTGTCCAACAGCTGCTCTTTCTAGTACCCCCTCACTGTGACCCTGGCCTTCACTTTGGTCTTGGCTCCTTGGATGGCAGAGAACAAACAGAATAGTTACAGTAACGGCAACAAGGAAAACCCAGCCGGAATCTCACGAAGGTCTGGGGAACTCTCTAAACTGGAAATTAAAAAAAAAAAAAAAAGTGCTCCAGAAAGCCCACGAAAAGAGGTGCAACATCGTCAGTCATTAAGAAGAGTCTAATCAAAACCACAATGAGATACCACTTCACACCCACCACTAGCATGACTGCGATCAAAAAGAGAGGCAATAAGTTGCAAGTGTCCGCAAGGCTGTGGAGAAACTGGACCCTCATACGCAGCTGGTGGGAATGAAAAATGGGGTAGGCGCTTTGGAAATCGGTGTGGCAATTCCTCAAAATGGTAAGCATAGAGCTGCCAGAGGACCCAGGATTCCACTCCCAGGTATCTACTCAGGAGGCATGAAGATGTGTCCACATAAAAGCTCATACAGGAATGTAAACGGCATCATTACTCACAATAGCCCCAAAGTGGAAACCACCCAAATATTCACCGACTGCTCAAAGGATCAACAAAATGCTATATATCCATACAATGGATTATTATGCTACAATAAAAAATAACGAAGCACGGCCACTCGCTATGACGTGGGCGAACCTGGAAAATGTGACGCTCGGCGACAGAAGCTAGACATAAAAGGTCCCATATTGTATGACTCCAGTATATGAAATGGCCAGAATAAGCAAATCTTAGGGAAAATAAAATGAGTGGTTGCTGAGAGTTGGGGAGGGGTGACGACTACGGGGTGGGGTTTCTCTCTGGGGTGATGAAAGGGTGCTAAAATTAGTTTGCAGTGATGCTTCCCCAACTCTGTGAATATACTAAAAAATAATGACTTGTACACCTTCAGTGGGTGAATTGCATGGTATGTGAATTATATCTCAATAAAGCTGTTAGGAAAAAAAGCAAGCAAGCAGCAAAGAGGCTGAGATATATTCTAAGAAGGCTGAGTCCAAGAAACTGGTCCCGGCTGAAAAACCAGGGTGACGATGGGGCAATTCACATGCCACTGACTGTCTCAATGATGAACAAACAGCTCACCAATCCAGATGTAGGGCAGCATTCCTGGGCATGACCATGGCTCCCACCAGCAGACATCCTACTGAAGTTTCTGCCAGGCTTCTGCTCTGGGCTGCCCTGAGACCAGTCAGTCCTGCACCAACTCAATCACCACTTCTACTGGTTCACAAGGAAATGGGCACCTGACAGGACGTCAGAAACAACACACCAATGACAGAAGGGGGGAGTTGCTGAAGAAGCCAAAGATGACTTCTCTTTGACACTTAGCGACCCTGCCAGGAGTCCCCTACCACATCAGAAACCGTCAAATTAAACAATGGGCACAAATTCGAGATCATTCCAAACATGACCCACACCAAGATCTCACTGCCAGAATTTTATGATGTTGCCCCCCACAAAAAAAAGAAAGAAAAAGCAAAAGCCTTTACCTTCATACTAAACTCTCACGTTTTAAACAAAAGAGAAGAGGGGTCACCACCTTAGGCATATAATTATGAAGACTGAGTGAATCAGTCACAACAGTTTTCCAGTTATAATACATACCACGGCTCATGAAAGTTAAGTTTATAGACCAAAGATACAATTAACATGAAGATGCAGTTTTCCCAACCGAAAAAAGATGAAACTATTGATTCCCCCAAAACAGTGAGAAAAAAGAGGCTAATGATGCTCTGCTGTTGGCAGAAAGAAAATGTATCCCCATTGTCTTTTGGGTGGGAGACCTACTTGCTTAGAAGAGAGGCTGTTCAAGATTTAACATTTTTAAAGAGCTGAGGGCACATAAGGCAAAGACACATCTTAGGTTCTGTCCTCACACATGGGAGAGGTAAGGTGGCACACTAGGTCCTCAAAGCTTCTGTAAGGCCTTTCAAGGGGGAGGAAGACAGCCTAGGAGATGGGGCATCAGGCTAAGGACAAAAAGGGGCAAAGGGAGGAGGAAAGTGGGTCCTGAGGCAGGCAAGAGTAGCTACACAGGAAGGTTTTGCAAGGAAGGGAAAGAAGGAGTATGAACTACTGTTGATCTCTGACTGGGAAAAAAATGTCAAGTGTGTTACTATTTGCATGAGAGGGGTGAGATGCAGAAAAGAGCCAGAGTAGGTAAAGCTGCAGCTCCAAAGCTATCAGGGGCTGGCAGCAGGTACTTAGAAATCCAGGTCAAATGGGCAGGGGGGGGCGGGGAGGTACACAGAAAGCAAGAAAATACCGTGTGAGAGATAATACTGGGTGAGTTCGATTTCCCAGCACATGGGTATCAGAGACTGGGAGGAAGCCCTGGCAGTATAGATAAAAGTTAAGAACACAGAAAGAGGGTCCCCTGGAGCCAAGGAGGAGGAAGATGAAGGTATGGGTTGGGGAGGTAGGCCAGGGAGACTGGGAGGGGACTGGAGGTGGCCAGAGAATGGAGGTAGGGAGCACAGAGGAGGCTTGGGGCTGGGGGCAGCTGGGTGCCTGGGCCAGGAAGAGACTGGGGCAGCTCCGAGGGCGAGGGGCGGGGGGGGGGGGGGGGGGGGGCAGGCAAGATCCCAACGGACTGGGAGGAGCTCCACCCAGCAGCACCCAGGATGTGAGTGCCTGGTCTTCAGAGAGTAAGTACCAAAGGCTAGGAATCAGTTGTGGGTTGAGGAGGCTCTCAGGGCTCAGGGGCTAATGGAGGGAGTGTGATCCCAGGTCGGAGGGGACTAACTAGGCTCTCCCAAGGAAGAAATCCTGGGAGGAGGGCCCCAGGGTTTGAGGATCCCTGGGACAGAGGAGAGGGGAGGGGAGGAGGGCTGTCTCAGGTCTGGGAAAATTTGACATGGGCCCAGCCACGGGTAGAGTCCCGAGTCAGGAGAACCCAATGGAGAGTTCTTCAGGGTCTGAGAGGGACTGGAGGGAGAGCTGATCGCGGGGCGACAGGTCCTGGGGAGGAAGGACTCAGGTCCGAGGGTGGCCAGTCACAGGGGGCTTCCGGATCCCAGCCAGGCCGGTCACCGTCTGGGAGAGTGTTCAGGGTCGGCCAGGAGCCGCTCACGACAGGCTCCGGTGTGAGGGGCAGGTCAGGGTTGGGGCTTGGAGAGTGTGAGACACCAGCTGGGCAGGTCCCGGGCGGTGAAGCGCCTGGTGCAGGAGGCCCGGCGGCGAGGGCCTGGTCCGCGGCTGCGGGCTCGAGGAGCCGGGGGCGGGCACGGCCCGTGAGCGCCGCGAGGAGGCCCTCGGGCCCCGGCCCGACCCGGCCCGGCGCTCACCTGCAGCACCACCTCTACGTCGTACGAGTTCCCCTTGCTCTTCTGGTGGCCGCGGAACTTGGAGCCGCTGTAGAGCAGGCTGGTGGCCACGCCGGGCTGCTGGGTGTTGATGGGCGGCGGCGGGATGAGCGAGGCCGCGGAGGCGGCCGAGGCACCGGCCGGCGGGGGACACTCGGTGCGGACCGGCATCGCGGGGTCCCCCGGAGCCAGGGCTGGGGGGAGGGGGGAGAGGAACCGCCGCCGCCGCGCGGGAGCCGAGGGGGGTGGCAGGGAGGGAGGGGCCGGGGCGCGCACGCGCGGGGTGGGGGCGGAGGGGGGCCCACCCGCCCGCTGCCTGCGGACCAAGCGCTCCGGCTGCCACCGGGACCCCGGGACCTGCGAGCAGGGCCTCCCTGTCCTGAGCTGAGTCCCCCTCCCCACTTGCCCTCGCACACACACCACCTTTTCGATTGGCTCAGGCACGCCGGGGGGGGCGGGAACAGGCTCACGCGGCGCTTCCACCCATTGGCGGGCGGAGAAAACACGTGGCGGGGTGTGCGAGGGGCCCTCTGGGACTTGTAGTCTTCTTCCCGAGGCGCGGCGTAGAGGGGGCGGGGCGAGGTGCGTTTGTGATGCTGATTGACTGGGGGTGTGCGCAGGAGGCGCGCTGGAGCGACGGCGCGCCGCTGGTGTCATGCGGAAGATGGCGGCGTCCAGGGGAGGCTGAGGACTCTGGGGAGGTGGAGGCAGGTTTCCGTACAGCCTGAGCGTGCGGCTTTGGGGATCCCTTCGCTCTGTTTCCTGCTCTCAGGTTTCGCGCCGGTCGTCTTCCCAGGCTTTCGGGCGCGATGTGGAGGAGCTGCCTCCGGCTGCGGCACGCCGGGCGCCGCCTCCTGAACCCGCCCCGGGGTGCCCTCACCGCCTCCGTGCGGCCGGGGCCAAACCCCCTGATCCCTGCCCGGGCCTACGCGCCCCCAACAGGTGAGGGAGGCCAGGGCACATTCTCTTTTGGCCGGGGCCCGAGCGGGGCTAAGGTGGGCTGAGGGGTTCGGCTGTGCAGGGCGGGGTAACCGAGGCAGGGCTCAGGCTCGTGAGGTTACGCAGTTCAATCGGGTCCCGCTACGGATCGGGGAAAATAGAAGCCCAGGCAAGGGCAGACCACCCGAGGGCACACATCGCATCACTGCGTGAGACAGTAGTTGCCATTTGGCACGTGCAGCTTTTCTCAAAGCTTGTGGTTTTCTTTTCCAATAAGGAAAGCAGATGGCATTCTTCTCAGACAGGGAAACTCGGGTTTTCGATCAGGACTACACCTAGGTCACAGAGCAGACTCAGAAATTTGTGGAGGGCATCGGTCGGCCTGACCTTTTCCTGTGTCCCCGTGGCTGCGCACAGAAGGGTCCTGGAACCGGGGCATTCAGTGGGCATTCAGTCTTCCATCCTGGCCAGTTTCTCTGCAGGTTTCCTGACCCTCCCTCCCACTGTCCTACCACAATACCTGCCGTTTCTTCTCAGGAGTTGACCCTGGTGCCTCCTTTCTCTCCTCCTGACTGATAAGGCCTAGAAGAAGGTAGTGACTCTTTCACTGATTCTGGGGAGAGTTTTAGGGTAAGAGTGGGAATGACTCCCTTAAATGAGTGAAGAGTAGTAACACTCTTTTCATTCAGTTAGTTTTTCTGTGCTCAGAGCTGGAGGCATGGTGGTTTTCAAGGCAGGCATGGTCCTACCTAATGATCACTGTCATTATAGATCACTGCAGGTTATACTAGTCTCATTAAACAACAGCCTATAATATCCTGCGATAAGGGAAGTACAAAGAAGCTGTGAGAACATAAAGAAGCACCTACTCCCATCTTGGGGGTTTTGAGGGTCTGGAAAGGGTCTTGAATGAAAGGACATTTCAGCTGAGTCTTGACAGATGAGTTGGAGTTCAGTGGAGAGGAGGAGGAAGAGTGTTGGGTGGCCAGAACAAGTTCAGAGGTGACTGCAGGCTGTGAGGGACTTTGCTGTAACACTACTTACTTTAGAAAATCTAGAACTCTCCAGGTAGTTTGACATTGTGGCAGAAGTACAAATCTGGGGTCTAACGCTGGCTGAACCTCTGAGGTACTGTGTGATCTTGGGCACCGGACTGCTTCCTTTGGGCCTCATTTTCCTTCATGAGTTGAAGGACTAGGTTGCCTCTGAGGGTCCTTCTGTTAAGTTTCGTAATTTTATACAAATGGGGGAGAGAGCTGGATGCAGCAAGTAGCTGAGGTTTCACCTGTCAGGGTCCAAGTTGAAGGGCCTGAAAGTGGGCCATGAAGAGCCAGTAAAGAAGAAGAAGGAGGAGCATTTGTGATATTGTGAGTTAGAAGAAGAAATATACAGTTGACTCTTGGAACAACATAAGGGTTAGGGGCACCACTACCACCACCCCATCAAAAATTCACATATAACTTTTGACTCCCCCAAAACTTAATTACTAATAACCCACTGTTGACCCGGAGCGTTACCAATAACAGTCAAGTAACACTCATTTTGTATGTTACATGTATTATATTCAATATTCTTAAAATAAGTTAGATAAAAGAAAATGTTATTGAGAAAATTAGAATCATAAGGAAAAGATCAGGAGGAAGAGAAAATAACATTTACTGTGCTGTAAACAATCCAGGTGTGAGTGGACCTGTGCAGTTCCAACCCACATTGTTCAAGGGTCAACTGTCTATATTTGGTCTCCCTTCAGTTCCTGGCACACATCTCTTAAAACCCTTGTAGTTTACTAAGCAATAAGAGCTATAGAAGAGGCTTTGTTATATTTGGTCTTTTGTCCTAAAGTAGCTCCAGAGATATAAAGTTGAAAGCAGTATCTTATTCATAAGCCCCTTTCAACCACACCTGAGGTTATGTTAATGAGGTGGCTTTTGGAAAGTACCTAAGGATGGGGGCTGGTTGCCAGGGGAACCAACCGCAAGATCAGAGGTTTGGTACTTTCAGTCCCACCCCCTGACTTCTGGGGAGGGGAGAAGGGCTGGAGAGATCGACTTGATTGCTAATGGCCTGTGATTTAATCAACCATGCCTATATAATGAAGCCTCCATAGAATCCCTGAACTGTGGGGTTCAGAGAGCTTCAGGGGTGGTGAACACTTGGAGATGCTGGAAGAGTAACATGCCCAGAGAAGGCACAGAATCTCCACACCCTTTCCCCTATACCTTGCCCTGTGCATCTCTTCATGTGGCTGATCCTGAGTTATATCCTTTTATAATGAACTTGTAATCTAGTAAGTTAGATCTTTATCTAGAGTTCTGTGAGCTGCTCTGGCAAATTCATCAAACCTGAGGAGGGGTCCTGGGAACTTCTGATTTATAGCCAGCGGTCGGAAGCATAGGAGACAACCTGGGCTTGCAGTTGGCATCTGAAGGAAGCGGGGAATGCAGTCTTGTGGGACTCATGAGCGCTTAACTTCTGGGATCCGATGCTATCTCCAGGCAGATAGTGTCAGAACTTCTTTGAATTGTAGGACACCCAGCTGATGTCACAGAGTTGATTGGTGGCAATCCCCCCGGACGTTTGGAGCAGAGAGGGTCTGTGTGAATCTGTAAAGGAAAACGAGAGTTTCCTTTACAACATCCCGGGAAGGTTCAACATGACCGAAGCGGACACGTGTGGAGTTCACTGAAATTGGCACAGGCAGATCGTTCTTTTGGATTAGCGGTGCCATTTTCCATTATGGTGGCAAGTAATCTACCATCTCTGTTTCCTTTTTACTGCATACTTTACTAGTTTAGGCTCTTGGAAGTAGCTGGCACATGAAAGAGAATAGGAATGAAAAAATGAAGCCCAGTGGGAGAGATGTCCATGAAACCAGGCCTGTGAGTGCACTGCAAAGACATTACCACTTTGAGTCTTCGGAATGGTGCAATATTAAACCCAAGTGGGGGCCTTCTCCATGAAGACTCTGGCAAGCAGATTGAACTTGGCTCCTTAGGAATGGCCATGCCAGGGAAGGTTGTCAGGAGAGGAGGGGGCTGGGAAAGGATCACTGGGGTGTTAGAGGAGATTTTGCAGCAAGGAGGCCTGTGTGAGGGTATGTGGTGGTCCGGCTCTGTACCAGTTGTCAGAGATCCATCAGCTGTTTAGAGGGGAAGGTGTTCTGGAGAGGCTGCATGCCTGGCTGAGTGCAACACCCAGTGAAGTCAAGGCTGAAAGTCTTGTCTCTGTTTTCAAATTGTCACCTGGACAAGTCATTTAGCTTCTCAGAGTCTCTACCACTTCAGAGGCATTACTTGGCCTGTCTTCATAGAATGGGTATGTTGGGTTGAGGGAAATTCTGTAGATAAAGCCCAGCCTGCCACCTGTTTTTTAAATAAAGTTTTATTGGAACACAGCCATGCCCATTCATTTTCATATAATCTAAGGTTACTTTAACTACCGAGTTGACTGGTTGCCTGCCAAGCCTAAAATATTTACTCTGGCTCTTTATCGAAAAAGTTGGCCTACCCCTCCCCAGGATGGTAGAGCAATTTGGAAAAAAAACTGTATTTAGATATTTAGCTCATTTACATTAATTGCTATGGCAGATGCATTTGCCCCGAAGATTTTTTTAACAGCTTTATTGAGATTCAATTCACTTATAGATCACTCATTTAAAATGTATAATTCAGTGGTTTTTAGTATACTCACAGAGTTGTACAACTATCAACAAAGTTCTAGAACACTTTTGTCACCCCAAAAGAAGCCCTGTACCCTTTAGCTATCATCTTCTTCCCTCCCTATCCCATTCTCCCTAGAGAACCACTATTTTACTTTCTGTCTGTATAGATTTCCCTAGTTTGGACATTTCATAAATGGAATGTGGTCTTTTCTGGCTGGCTTTTTTACATTTAGTCTATTTTCAAGGTTTATCCAAGTTGTAGCACGTATCAGTACTCCATTGTCTTTCATAGCTGAGTAATATTCCATTGTATGGCCTTATCATATCTTATTTATCCATTCATCCACTGATGAACATTTGGGTTGTTTCCCTCTTTCGGCTATTCTGAATGCTGCCTATAAACACTTGTGTATAAGCTTTTATGTGGGCATATGTTTTTTTTGTTGTTTGTTTGTGGTTTTTTGTTTGTTTGGGCATATGTTTTCATTTCTCATAGGTACATATCTAAGAGTAGACTTGCTGGTCATATGGCAACTGTTTGACTTTTTGAGGAACTGCCACACTCTTCCAGGGTTTAACTGCCACGCTTTTTCAGTTTACATTTCCACCAGCAGTGTATGAAGGTCTCACTTTGTCCACATCCTTGCCAACACTAGTTATTATCTGGGTGTTTGTTTTGTTTTGTTTTGTTTTAATTATAGCCATCCTAGTGGGTGTGAAGTAGTTTCTCCTGGTTTTGTTTTGCGTTTCCCTGATGATGATGATGTCCAGCATCTTTTCATGTACTTATTTTGTATATATTTTCTTTGGAGAAATCTCTATTCAGATTCTTCGGCCAGTTTTTAATTGGGTTGTCTTTTAATCATTGGGTTGTAAGAGTTCTTAAATAGTTGGTCTGAAGAATTTTGATACCTGAAAACGGTTGGAGCTGCCCTAGGATTATGGATGGAGGGATGCCCTAAGTCAAATGTAGCTTTAAGGCTTAAGGTCCGCCAGATGGCACTGTTTAAAAAGATAAAGGTGTTGAGACCTCTGGCAGAGGGCACTTCCTCTGTTCCTGGTGCACTGTGGGAG